GAATAGCAGTCGGGTTGAGACATCTCTTAAAAACCTTTAAAAAAGGAGAAAAGAGGAAAAAAATATATTTGAAACCTGTGTATAACCAATAACAGGAGATCAAAACCAAGAGAGAGAAAAATGACATGACGTGGATTTTTTAAAATAATAATACTTTCAAAGAAAAATTTTAAAGGGATTAAAACTGGGAGGATATATAATTGTTTAAAAAGTAAAAATTAAAAACGTAATAGAAAATACAACAGGTAAAAACAGATTTTAAAAAAAAAGGTGGGGGGATGTTCTCCTGGAGACTGTGCTCTTAATGAGAAGTCTTTGTGTCTTCCTGTTTCCCAAACTCAGCTTGCTGTTTCCAGTGGCCCTCTGTTGGCGCCCCCGCCTCTCCTCACGGATAACCTTCCTTGGGTTTTCAAAGATGGGGGTATGCACCCTTCCCCCCAGGGCACATCAGCCATGCTGTTTTATGGGGGGCCCAGGTTGTTCTGCCCTGTGCACCGCTCATCCATGTTGCGCAGCACCCTGCAGTTCCCCGGGACTGCCTCAGTGCAGCTGTCTCTGTCCTCTGCCCGGCTCGGGCAGCCTGTCCCAGCCCCCAGCTCCCGGCTCAGGTCTCGGGCTGGGTGTCTCAGGGACCCTCTGTGCCCGTTTAACTTAGTTCTGTCAGTCAAGGGCTGCTCCGTACAGATCCGAGACTCTGAGGCTCCCGCTCCATGCTGCTGGCCTCTCCGTTGGAGAGGGGAGACCCAGCGAAGGAGCGCCAGTCCTCCTTTGCTGCTCCCTCCCTGGGGGATCGGTCCCTCACTGTTTTGCCTTTTTGTCTTTCTTTTTTCCTTTCTCCTACCAGATTTTTGGCTTCTTTGTCTTTTGAACAGGACAATGTTCTGTCTGAGTTCCGCAGGTGCTCTGGTTGGCTGAGTGGGTCTGTGGATGTGAGTCTTGGTGTATCTGTGGGAGAGGGTGAGCCATGAGCGTCCTACTACTCCGCCATCTTGGCCTCGTTCCTACATTTGATGTTTTTTTTCTCAAGTGTTGCCTTGTCATTTTAATAAGAATAATTGTTTTGAATGGGCATCTACGTTGTTTTCCTGATTACTCTGTTAGAAGTTAGACTGGACCCATTTTTAACATGTTTCTGTAACATTTGTATAGTAACACTTGGAATGTAACTAGTTTAAAATGTTTTATTATTTTTCCTTACAGATCTCTAAGCAAGAACAGAAGAAAACGGATACATTTGATGGAAGCATGGCTGAAACTTCGTCTCGGTACAGTGGTGCTCAGGATAGTGGAATTGGCAGTGACAGCGTTAAAATCAGGATAGTGCAAATAGAGCAGCACAGTGGTACCAGTCAGCATCGCATTGCCCGCCCCTCCCGCCAGTCATCAATTGTGAAAAACCTAAATTTTATTCCTTTTGACATATTTATTACTGCAAGTAGAATCTCACTGATGACCTATTCCTGTACGGCCTTACCCTCATCGAAATCGCAAGAGCAAAAGGATAATGAAAAAACAGGCAAGAGTTCATTAAATCTCCCAGAAGTTGATTCAGATGTTGCTAAGCCCAGCCAAGCATGTATTTCCATGGTAACAGCAGAAGATCTCTTAAGCAGCAGCGTATCTTTTCCTTCGGGAAAAAAGTTGGGGTCATCTCCCTTGAAAGTCTTCACGCATCCGCAAGGTCATCTGCTAGACAGGCACTTGGCATAACTATCGTTCGGCAGCCTGGGCGAAGAGGAGCCGGTGACTTGCAGCTAGAACCGTTTTTGTACTTTATTGTGTCCCAGCCTTCTTTGCTTCTGAGTTGTCACCACAGAAAGCAGCGAGTGGAAATATCTATTTTTGATGCTGTGCTTAAAGGGGTGGCTTCTGATTACAAATGTACAGGTAAGAGCCTTCAGATTTACTGGGGTGCTAATACCTACTACTACAAATTAAGTTTTATTCCCAAAGCTTCAAGATTGATCAAACAGAAAACAGCTGGCAGGCCAGACGAGATTTCTTTTCTCTGCAGAATATGTAAATATGTAAAGTTCATATCCCACAGCTGAGTCGTGTTTAAGTAAATGTTTGAAATGGAAAAAGGGTTAGCCTGTTGTTCTTACCATGCCTCTGAATATTCATTTGTTTTCAGAAGCTAAATGAAACAGGGACTGTCTCTGGGCTAAATGCTTAACAATTTCCAGTGATTAGGGAGCAAAGTTGTCTTTTTTTTTTTTTCATATTAATGGCCCATAAGTGGTATGCTTTCCATGTTAATGCAAGTATTTGGATAAAGAAAGAAAAATCTTAGAAAGTGAAGTTTATTGTTTTGGTATTCTTTTGCTCAAGTCATCTTGCTATAACAGCATAATATGAAATGTATTCGAGGAGGTTTATTAGTAAAGTAAGATTTTTATACATCTTCAACGAGCATGTTTATTAGCCATATTGGCCAGCTGGCTCTTGTTGTCCCATCCACACCTTTCTTATGACCAGAGAGCATCATATATTATAAGCATTATATATAACTTCTGAAGCTTCTTGCCTACTGAAACTAGGAAAGTGATCAGGGGTACAGATTTAAGACATATAGGCTGCTAATTAACAAAAGATAATGGAAACAGGGCCAAACAAGATATAGGGACCTTTTCCCTGAGTTAAGGTAGAATTAGAAATATGGCTGCAAAGACCACCCAGAGAAGGTAGCTGAAATCATCTAAAATTCGACATGGGAAGGGGGCCCTAGCAAGCTCAGGTATAATTCAGGCATTTTATTGTTCTCAGGTGGTCCCGTCTAGCAGATGGAAGACAGCAGTGAGGCATTTGGAGAATTTGTCCAGTTTGGAAGTCAGCCTGGTTCGTTCTTGGCATCAGGGAGAACCGTTTTACATGGCAAGCTTTTGGAGAGTAGATGGCAGGTGTGAGGATCAGGATTCAGCCCAAGAAAGTAGGGTCAAAGGAGCCCTTGGCTTTTGCTGAGGTACAGTTGAAGTCCTCCGCTTTAGAAGGGGTAATTGGCCAGTTGCTAAGAAGGAATAACCTAGAGTTACCTCCTGGGCTGCCTGCTGGCCCTCTCTCTGTCAGTGTGCTGGAGCTGGCTCATACTGGCTCAAAAGAGCTGTTAAATTTTTAGGAACTTTGAAAGACAGTTGTTAAACCACTGGTAGTTTAAATCGGCCATAGTGAGAGTATTTACGCCACAGATACTGGCAAATGCTATCAATCAGCTCTCCTACTCTGAGAGCCAGTTGTTAAACATTTACCAGTAACCACTGCCTCCCTTCTTCAAGCATGTTCTCATTTACTGAGTGCCTACAAGATAACAGGTACTTCCGGGAGCCTGGAGATGGGAGTGGTGCTGAGGTAGTCGGTGTTACGTGATTCAAGGATTCATGCCTGCATACCTGATACTGTTTGGGTGTCTGCTGAGCATGGGCAAAAGGTAGGTGTAGGATTGGGAAAATGAATTTCAGTTCCAAGCCCCTCCTTAAGTGCTTTCTGCTGTGGTTGGTTTTATGGCTGTGTGGCATCAGCAGCCTCTACTAATACATGATGATACTAAGTTCAGCAAAGTTATCAGGGTTCATAGCAAACGTGTGCATTTGAATTATAACTGGTCCCTAGGTTGAAATAACGAAATATTTTTTGTTTGAAAAAAAAACCCTTTGTATGTAGAGTAAGATGGAACCTAATTTTAGTAGATGAAGCTTAGAGTGAAGTTTATGGGCCAGATTCAGTATAGGGGATTACGTGTGGGAGGAAAATGTCTTAACATATGTCCCACAGAGCATCCTTTGCGTAATACTGTTGTGGATGCCTTTCCTTATACAGAAGGCATCTACTTGGACATTTATACTGTCCAAGTAAAGAGTTAATCAATATAAATTATCATGTTTCTTTAAAATGAATTTAGTGATTTGGTAAAATTTGTCAGAAGCAAGCAGTTAAAATATAATGAATGGCTAAAAAATACAACTAGCAATTATTGAGAATTCAGTCTGTGCCAGGAATCATGCTAACTGCTTTAAATGCATGATCTCATTTGATCCTCATAGGATTAAATGGGAAATATGTTCCCATCTCACATTCTGTGTTTTAACTGGTGAATTTGTACATATGTGTCCAAGATGTGGCTACACAGTACAGCCTCTCCTAATCATATGACAAACCTGAGCTGAAATTCTAACTCTTGTCACTGGCAAGATGTGTACCTGTCTATATTGTAGGGTGATTGTGAAATTGAAAAGAGATAATTCATGAATGTACTTAGCATTGAGTCTGGCGAGTAGTAGACCCTCATAAATGTTTGCTGCTTCTGCTTTAGCTGTTCTGTAGTAGGAAGATGACCAAACCAGGAGCAGAAAGCCTGCGATTTAGTATTGGCCCTGCTATTAACTAGCAAAGTGATCTTAGCCAGGCAGTTCACTTCTTTGGGTTTCTGTTTCCTTATGTATAAAATGCGATGATTATAATAGATATTAACAAGGTCCATTCCAGTTCTAAAGTTTTATCCTTCTGTAATTTGGAATGCATCTCCCCCTACTCACCTTTCTAAAAATATTTAAACTAGCTTTGGCCTCAGGGAGTTGACATCTCTAAGCCACCTATCAGATAAAATTTATTTTGACTTGTTTTAAAGATGCAGATTTTCTTCTGATATTCTGTTGGAGCACTGATTAGTTAATTCAATATTTTAAATACATAAATGTGTATTAATTGTTAATGAAGCTATTTTTCAAAAACTGATTGGGGAATTTCTATTTTGAATTGGTTCAGTTGAATGAACTATCCGAGTCCCATTATCAGTTTAGTTTATCCAGAAACACTTCATGTAGCACTTTTCTACCCAGAACAAAACAGTGTTCCATGTCCAGATTCTTCTGAAGCCCTGCAATAGTTACCATGTGGGTAAGAAAAAAGAAAAAAGTAAAAAGTATAAATAACTGTAATGTTAGTATCCACACGGGGGAGGAGCAGTAAGGTAGAGATGGCCAGTTGCCTTTCACAATTCTGAAGTGAAGGACTACTTACAGTGTCTTAACTGGAGGGACAAAAAGGGACAGCACTGGAAAGCTTACTTTCTGAGAAAAGTCAGGGAAAAGTTAAAGGCATCATAAGCTAAAAATGAAAGGAATATTATATTAGATCTTTCTGTAGTGTTCATACTTTCCTGATACTAAAATTCATCCTCTTTTATAAGGTAACTCAAGTGGCAGTCAGCCAAGAGCAGTTTTAGCATATATGTGCATTTCATTCATTGCCCAGTTTCAGCATTTCAGACACGCCTGAGGTTGTTACGGAGATAATAGGTTTTCTTTTTAAAGAGGAGAAAAACATTTGATTGTTAAAAAAAAAAAATCCAGCTCAACAGTTTGTAATTGTTAACTGTTTTATGTGGAAGTCATAGACCATTATTACATGTGTTCATGATCCTTTGTATGGAAATCATATGGAACTAAAAGTAAACAAAGGATTTTGTTTCACTCTTTAAAAAGACTTATCATGTTCAGAGGATAATTTCCAAAAAGTCATAATTCTTATATAAACAGAAAATGGACATGTCAAAGATTTTGTTTAACTCATTAATTAATGAGGAAACCAATAAGAATGTTACAAAGGAATTCACAGTGCAGGAGACCTCTAAGGCCCTAGTCGTCTCAGAAATTTTGATTCTCTAATTCATTAAGATAATAAAAATGGTACGAGCCACTTCATCCTTGATTTTATTCATTGATAAAGCATGGCTCTGGGTAATTCTAAAAAGATGGAAGTATTTTTAACATGAGATTATGAGGATGTGGTTTTTATTTAACATATTCAGGAGACTGCAGTGAAGACCCTGAAAGCAAATACTAAAAATCCTTTGAGCTTTGTTAGAATATGGTGTAATAGCTCAAGGTAACTACTTTAAATTAATCAGCATGGTTTTTAAAATCACACCCTCCTGTTTTATACAATCATCTTGACATTAGTTTAGAATGAACTTCTAATCCCTGGTGTACTTTCATTTCTACATCCAGACAGTCTTTAGGACTAGTCTTTCATTTACTTCATTTGAACCCTGGCTAATTACCAGACCTGTTCAAAATGAGGAGGAATTGGTAATAAGACCCAGTTCTGTCCTTCAGGCATGTCCCATCATTTAATAATTACACTTATTATGATGAATGATGAAAGTTGAACAGGATATGGGTCTTCATGATATGGAGGGCTGTGAAACACTTAAAGTTAAGTAAGAGCTGTAACTTCTGGAGAAGCGGTTTAGAAAAGCTTAGTAAGATTTGTATGAAATGACTTAAGGAAAGCTGCTTGGGTTTTGAGGAATGATACAGAACTAGTCTTCAGAGTTTGTTTTTTTTAAGTGGTAGTAGATTCAGCTCCAGCTACAATTCAGAAGAATTTTATTATTCTATTTATCTATTTGCTCTTTGGCTGTATGTCTTAAAATGTATTTTAGTGTTTGCTCTGAGGTTTCGAATATGCTTACTTAGTCTTTCACAGTCAGTATATTTACACATACTGAAAACCCTACTAGATAAGATTTTGATCTTTATTTCAATAATCTGACATATTTTAAAGAACTAAAGAAGAAAAAACTAGTATATTTTATATTTCCCAGGTACTTACCATGTCCAGAATGCTTCCTTCTTTCCTAAAGTTCTGAGTTTTCCTCTGGAAATTAAGAACTTCCTTTAGCATTTTTTTTAGAGCAGGCCTGCTAGCAACAAGTTGTCTTAGTTTTCCATCATCTGGGAGTATTTTATTTTCTCTCCCTCTCATTCCCAAAGGATATTTTTGCTGGATATAGAATTCTATGTTGACGTTTCTTTCAGCACTTTAGAGGTATCGTTCCACCATCTTTTACCCTCTGTGGTTTCTGATGAGAAATTTATGGTAGTTCCAAT